CACATAAATGCTTTGTCATTGATCAATGTTATGAACATCCCCTCTTTGAAATGAGAGGACTATTAATTTGTTTGTTTATTTGTGTTTTTGCAAAACACTTAAGAATTACATGGAACAATGCCTAATAATTATTTAATGAAATTTAGTGACAGTAGGGGGAAGGGCGCTAATGCTGGAAGTGAAACTAAACTCTCAAATCTCTGTCTGCTTTGGACTTTTTCATGTCCAAACAAACACAACAAACACACAGTGTGTAAACTGTTAGGACCTCCTAGACCAGGGGTCTCAAACTTAAATGAACTGTGGGCCACTGCTGGCACTGTCATCTCATGTGAGGGCTACTTCAGTGTTCAAGTAGTACAAAAAACCCAAACAAACAAGAAAACAATCACAAACATTTCCAAAAATGTAGTGTTTTCTTTGTTTGTTTGTTTTTATTTCAAATATTGTATAACAAGACAAAACTGCAAACGTGAACGCATTGTTTTTGCCTTACTCTTAACTAACTGAAGTCTTTCATTGAACTACCAAACTGAAAACACATCGGTCCTCTCTTTCTCCCCACACACGTGGCAGCACTTCTGCTATCATTTTGTTCATATGTAACAAAATCAAAATGCAGACATAAGTGTACACATTAGTTTTGGACCGTCTCACTCAACTAACACAGACAATCCCTCAGCATGTTTGTACTCTCTGCTCATGTTACCTTCATATTAAATCATGTTTTGCTTTTAAAAGAACTTATTTGAACATTGCAGTTAATTCAGTTCAATTCAATTTTATTTATATAGCGCCAAATCACAACAAAAGTCGCCTCAAGGCGCTTCATAGATACAGAGAAAAACCCAACAATCATATGACCCCCTACATTTAGTTAAATTACTTATTGAGTAATTAAGTTACTTTTCAGACACAGTAATTAGATAAGTATTTTAAATACAATATTGATTAAGTAAATAGTAATTAATTACTTTTTTAAAGTAACACCCTTGTACTAGAAGCTACAGTGAGGTTGACAAATAAAAGACCACAATAAAGCTATTAAGTTGTCTGCCTTGCCAGCATGTCACCCCACATAACTAACCACAACAGACTGATTACAAAATAAATCCTATTAGCTATTTTTTCCACCAGTCTTGAAATTAAAATCTTTTATATTTTTGTGATAGCAAAAAAAATAACAATAAGTAAATTGTGTGACACTTCCACAGCAATGCAGAACAATTTTCAACGCTGCACAAAATTCCCTCTAGTTTCCTCCAAGCCAGGATTTTTGTGAAAATGGGAAAATATATTACCTTGGTCAAACAAAGGTCACCTCAGTGATGCACTTCAAAGCTTCACCACAAGACACCACTGACCTTAAAGCAATTCTTCAGCATCCATTTTCCCTTTATGAGTGATATTTACTCTTCAGCAGCATTTGAAGTGATTAAATCATATCACAACAGATTTCAACAAACAGTACAAAGAGATTCACACTTTTTCATTAACATAAAGGCTCAAAGCCAAGGACTGTAGGGTTTTCTCCCAGTGGTCCCTTGTATGGAAAAAAAAAAGGTAAAAAATTCCCTACCTGTGCTGCTCTGGATGGTCCTGACGGTGGTTGCAGATGTACGTGGTGGGGAGGACGGTAACAGAAGCAGTGGTCTCCCTCCTTCTCCTTCCTCCTCCCCACAGCCCTGGTCAATCGCTCTTACATAGCTGTGGCTCCGCATCCGGAAGCATCCCGGCATAGGCAGTGTGTCCATGGTGTCCATGCTGTCCATGGCAGCCTCCATGGCCTGAGACTGCATCTCACTGTACACCTGCTCACACACCTGCTCAATCTGCCCATTTACTTCCACCTCACTCAGCTGATGGAAATCAAATGAAGAAAAGGACAAACAGAGGGAATAATTTAGAGTTTAGATTTAGAGGACAATAAGGAAACCTCAATACAAATCAATTTCAAATCACTGAAATTATTAAAGTATCGCATGGTTTAGGGTAGTATTGTTGATCCTGCAGAAAAGTTTATTTGCTGCCACTTTTAAATGGCAGTGCAATCAGTAGAACAGTTGCCATGGGTGCAGCGATTGATTGGATGTTTAACACCATTACTGTTTAACCATGTGAGATCTAAGTCATCACTTGTGATGAACCCAACCATAACCTAGTCTAAAGTCTTAAACTAGTTAATCACAAAAACCAAAATAACCATGTTAACCGATTTACATCAAAACTATAGCAATAAAAAAAAAAATCTGTTTTCCTTTCCTCTAAAGGAAACATCTAACCTCTGGGAGGTTAGGTGTGGGTTTAGGACCTAATGATGACTGTGATCACCATTGCTTGTGGAGCAATGGGTCTTTTACCACATGCTACCACTGGGTAGGGAATCTTCCCACCATATGGTGCATTTGACATCCATGGCAAAAGATACTCCTTCAAGGTTTAACGATGGGGCTCTAAAGAAAATTTAGGGTATTAGATCCTTAACGTGATATACAGTTTGTGAACTATGAGCATGACTCTTGGTGGGAAATGGCAGTTTGCTAACTTTCGGGAAGATGTGAACCAGAAGCAGAGGAGAGTTGCAGAAACAGCAGGCTGAAGTATGCTGAAAAGGAAACAATGGAAGCAACATGAAAGACATGTATGTGTGCGCACATGTGTGTGTGCAAACATGTGTGTGTGCAAGCATGTGTGCATCAACTGCAAGGGGAAATAAAACATGGATCATCTGCAGAATCCCTAGAGCTGTCGGGTACTTTTTCACACTGTCATTTCGAGTACTGCATTTGGGTCCTACTCCTGTCGGCCATGTAGCCAGTCTTGACACCAAGTGCCTAATGATACAAAAACACAGATTCGTTGCTAAGTTTAGACAAAACATCAGTTCATCTCTTGGGTTAGGTGCCTTGTTTTGTTTGAACTATTTGACTATAAACGAGTGAAAAAGCAGACAATGTCCAATGATAAACATTAAAAGATCTCCAGAAAGCCTGAAGAACTATTGCTCAAGACAACTTTTGAACCTATGAAAAGTCAGCCAGTGGAAAAATATGTCCACGTGTCCGTGATGTTTTTGTAACAGCAACAGTGAGATTCTAGGAAACCGCAATGGTATACAGTAATGAAATTAGGATGTGTCAACCTTCAAAGATGAGTCTTTGATGGTTTGACATCAAAACTGTTTGATGTGAAATGACTGAATAGGGTATACAGTAAATATAAAGACAGCAGTGATGCCAACCAACCTGACTGATGGTGCTCATGGCTCTCATGTAGCTTTCATTGCGTGAGCGGTATTGGGGTGAGGACAGCAGTGATTTGGGATCGAGGAGGGTTTTGGGGTCCAGGGTGTCCAGGCTTCTATTGATTGAAACCTCACTCACCGCACGCAGGTAACTGTGGCTCCTGATCTGAAGTTTGGGGGAGTGCTCAGCTGAAATCCTGCAAACACAGGTGTTATATACAATGTCTGACTGTTATAGGTTGACTTGTTTCCTTTCACCAACTACACTAGATACACACACCTATGTACACAGATAACCTCATATAGGTGTAAGCATGCAAACACACAATATAGACACAGGCCTTAGGGAGACGCACACGAGAGACAAGCACATACCAATGGACACATAACAAACTTCTGTCTTTGGACACGTTTAGAGGCTTAAGAAATCTTTCTGTTTTCTGTAAATAGAACTAGGTACACATGTCAAGGTTAGGATAGGGGAGCATGTGAGACATATGTGGACCCTGCGACTTGGAATATTTTTGGAATGGAGACAGCAGGCCTGGGGGGAGTCGAGGTCAGGAGACGCCCAGCAAGAGGAGGCTCTCTTAAACATAACCATATGTGGCATCAGATGCGGATAACCAACAGGTATAAATGTAAAGGTAGACAAACTGTGTCTTTGTCTGACTCTGTAGCATGGGAAAGATAAGACGTATGCGTGCATAAATATCTCAAACCACCTTGGAATAATCTTCATTGTCTAAACCACCATCATGCCACTCCCTTTAGACGTGGCTTTGGCAGATGATCTGCCTCCATCTCACCCATCCCTAACATCCTCTTCTGTCAAACCAACGCTCTGCATGTCCTCCTTCACTGCATCCGTCTATCTGTGTAGTCTCTGTCTTTGACTCCTGCCTAGCAGCTCCATTTTCAGCATTTTTATCAAACCATCACAGCCTAACTTTCCCTCCAAGCCAGTCAAACATATTACTGATGCAGAAACAGTTTTCAACAGGCCATGAGCAAACCATGGTGCTCACTGGATAGTTTCAATTTTGGATCATTCTTTGTAAACCCTATCCCAGTAGTTTCTGAAATACTCAGGCCAGCCCATCTGGCAATAACAGACATGCCACGTTCACTTCACAGCTGTTTGCCAGTGGTGCGAGTTTCAGTCATTATGCAAATATGTTGTTTAAAAGGTTGGGGAAACCTGCAGTCAGCTGAGACAGAAGAAGTCACTTGGATGAGTGACAAGACGTTTCTCCCACTGAAAACGCTACATCCAGATAAACAGAACCAACTTTTGTGGATTTCCTTACTTGGATGGTTGAGCATGCATCAAGACACTTCGTATTTGGAGTTTTGTAAACATTTTATTGAATTAAATGATTGGAACAGGTGTGCCCCTGTAGAGAAACAATTGTCTAGGAAATCACCATCACAAACTATAGACACATCTGGGGTATAAGCTGCTGTCCTTGAGGGGTGCAACCTGAACTCTACTTAAGAAACTTCTAAGCTGCTTAAAAATACTCTTCCCCACTCCTAACATTTTTTTGTCTCTTTGTTTGTTTTACCTTTTTCCAGGGGTGTCAAATTCCAGTCCTCGAGGGCAACCCCTAACTCTACTCAAGCGAATTTAAGTAATTGTAAGTGAATGGCTGAATTGCCACCTCAGCATGCAGTCAAGTTCTATAGAGTTTTGCTAATGACCTACTAATTTTATTCAGGTGTGTCGCAGCTGGGACACACTTAAAAGTTTTAGCACACCGGCCCTCGAGGGCTGGAGTTTGACACCCGTGCTTTCGAAGCAAGATGCTTTATCATTACCACAATTTGTTCTTAATTTTCAGGTGAAATTCGACGATTTCTTGTTCTCACTATGTGCAACTCTTACTAATGGAAGCCTTTGCAAGTACAGGTCCTTCTGTTTCTTATAGTATGTCACCCATAAACCAATGAGGAATGGAGGGGCTTACTGTAGAGTGGTCATCTCAGTCAGTGATGGCTGTGTGGCTTTCAGGTAGCTGGCCCGCCGAGCTTGGATCTTGGGAGAGGGCTTGGGACTTCCATCAGAATCTCCGCTGTCATCCTCAGCCATGGCTTTCACATAGCTGCCGCTTCTCATCCTCCGACAGGGGATGTCATCTTCCTTCCCTAGAGGAGAGAAGCTGCTCCATTCATCCTGAGGTACCTGATGACCACACCAAGAGGACAAAGAACAGTGTTAGGAGGATCTGCTCCACTGCTGTTCAAGTCCCAGCCAATCAGTTCAATCCCACTGACTAACTAAACTGTCCTGATGGTACATGAAACCAATTAGAAATAAGCTAGCATGCAGAACAACATTTAATACAATAAAGAACAAAACATATTGACCAAAAACACAGTTGTACTACACTGATGGCTAGCATTTCCTTTTTATATCTCTCTCTAACACACATCATCCATACAGATTTCTCTCACTGCAGTAGTACAGTCTGTTGGGTAATCAACATGGGACAATATGTGTAGAGACTGGTCTGGCATTTCTCTTTGGCCAAACCACGCATCTGTCAACACAGAAGTGTGCTAATGCATAACATAACAGAGTGTATATGTGCCTTTAAGTGCATGTATGTTTGTATGTGCCTGACCTGAGGGCCTGCTTGCTCACTGAGAAGAAACTGTAACACAAAAAAATAACTGGGCAAAATATGCAAATTTACAAAAAATAAAGAATCTTTCTGAAATTAAAATATTAACAATGGTTTGTAATATTGTTTTAAAAGTGCTGAGGATGCAGTAGAACTTGACTGCATGCTGAGGTGGCAACCCCTAACCCTGTTCAAGTAAATTTAAATAAATGTAAGTGTTTGGAAAAATGTACCTCTCTAGCACCATGTTCATCACTCATGAGCTGCTGTAACATGAGTAGGTCTTGCTAATGATCTACTAATTTTATTCAGCTGGGACACACGTAAAAGTTTCACGACACCGGCCCTCGGGGACTGGAGTTTGACACTCCTGGCCTAGCCAGTCGAAACAAGTCCTTTTGTCCTTATTTAATACTCAGTCTCACATACAACTCAACATAAACCATTTTCTTTGCCTTTGTTACCTCTTTCTTTGCCGTACACCTTGCCTTTCAGTACTCCTTTGTACTTTCTTCAGCTTCCTTAATATCCCACGTTTTCTTTGCTAACCTCTTCCTTTGAATACTTTCTTGTACTTCCTCATTCCTCCACTAAATCTCCTTGTCCTCATTCTTCTGTCCAGAGGATGTACGAAACAGACTTCCCCGACCTGTTTAGTTTCTGATAACTCTTCCCTACCACCCAGAGTCGGTCTCAACTCCTCCCTGAACTCTGTGAAACATTCTTCTTTCTTTGACTTCCACCATTTCATCCTTGATTCTACCTTTACTTTCTTCCTCTTCGTGATGTCCAAAGTCATCCTAAAGTCTACCATGTGATGTTGCACACCTACATTCTCCCCTGACACGACCTTGCGGTCTCCTAACTCTTGCAGCTGTAATTTACCTTCGTGCACCACCCTCTGTTCATCCCTCTTCTGTAAGTGTTCACCACAGTCATCTCCACAATATTTACAAAATCCAATACCATCTGTCCCTAGCATCTCTCTTATTAACACTATACCTTCCAAACACCTCCTCAGACCTCTATTCATTTCAACTACATTAACTGGGTTACATTTTAACTACTTCATTTTAACAAGTTCATTGGAATCTGCTCCAATTACCACTCTCTCTGCCCTTGGGACTCTCTCTACTACTCTCTACCACTTCATTCATTCAACCTTAGTCTTTAGCCAACTGTAGGACAGTTTCCACCAGCACATTGTTGGCCAACAGCACCGGAGGTGGTCATTATTAACCTGGGCCTGAACTGATAATAACACTATGTTAAGGAAAGATATAGCACCAAAATGTCTCAGGCAAAGTGAATAACATTGATTGTTGCATTAAAATGCGATGACATCTGAAGTAGGGGCATGCAGACCCAGCATACCTCTGCATTGCACAAGCGCCTGCTGTATCAAGGAAATGTGCACATGACTTAGAGTTCAAAGCACTGACCTGGTGACACCCACCAATGTCCCTGTGCCAGAGGTCAGAGGACATCCAGAATGTGTGCCCCAAATGTTGTCAACAAATCTTTTGGTGGCGCAAGCGGGAGCTACACAATATTAGGTAGGTGGTTTTAATATTATGGCTGGCCAGTGTAGATGTAGTGTGGCGCTGCATGAAACTTGTGTTTACCACCTTCACATTTAAGACCAGAGTGTGAGAATTTGAAAGACAATAACAGAGACAGACAGCAGGAGAAATGTACTGCTACTCTGACTAATTATATATGAATCACACAGGGAAAGAGGCTGAACAGATCTGCTGAGCTAAATATCTCTCTCTCTCTCTGTATGTGTGTGACGTCAAAGACACACAAATGAGCAGTTTGGCTAAAAAAAGAGAATGCGAGGAAAGAACCAGCTGCAGTCAGCAGCAGCAGTGCTTCTCACCCACGCACAGACTTCACTTCCAGTGCAGCTCAACACTCATTCTGCTGTAATGGCTGAGGAATAGTGAATTGCTGCAGTTGATAGTTTAGACTGCGCTTAATGCAGATGCTGCTTGTCAGAAATTTGATGCGTCTCTAAGCATTTACAATGAAATCACTAACATAATAAATGAATAAAGAAGTCCCTGTTCATGTGATTCCGTGACTCAATATGTACTGCGTGTCCTAAGCATCGACTGTGGGGTTTTTTTTACTGCGAAATGTAGACTGTTTCCTTGGCAACACTGTTTTGATAGATTAAGACAGCAGTATTAGAAATAACAGGTACTGTAACAGTGCAAGCAGCACCCAAGCTGAACAGAACATACAGCCAAGAGGAATGGAGACAGCTTTAATGTGCTCTTTTGACACAGCTAACTGAGCAGCTCTGATAAGCTGTTTGTAGCTGATACTTAACAGCAAGACTTTGCATGTAAGACAAACGTAGCTTTTCCTCAGTTTCCCAGTCATGCTAATCTTTTGCCCTTGTCTCTAGTTTGGTTTTGACTTGATTCGGCTTGTCTACGCTCATGAAGCACATTTGTAATCTTCCTTATGTGAAAGTATTGTAGCTATGCACGAATATTAAATTCAAGCTGACTTAGTCCAAAGTTCAAACAGGAGTTCCTGTAAAATCCCACTTATTATCTGTGAAATCTAGCTCAGTGGGAAATGTCACCCGTGTGGACTAGGTCTGGGTATTGCACTACACAAAATTATATTTTTTAAAAAGACACAAGCAGAACTTTCATGAAAACTGCTCCCCTTTCTAACAAACCTATAGGAAGATGGTGCACTGAGGTCATATACTGTTTAAAGTGCATAGCACACAGCACTGGATAGTGGCCCTTATTATGAATAGAAGAGATGGACAATGAGCTCAGGGAGGCTGACAATAGCCAAGTGATCAGCAGTAGCTCAACAATCAAGGTGATTTTTGGCCCATTTCGACAGGTTAAATTAGTAGCATCATTTCATTCGGATTCATAATGAATTAAATCTGCCTCTCTAGAATTTCATGTTGTATTTCCACAAATATTGACACTTGCAACAAACACGTGTCTAGCCGTGTACAAGCTTGCACTTTTGTGTTGGATCCATTTGTGGGCATCCATTGTCATTATCAATTTGGAAAATAGGAGAATATTTCTAATTGTTGTATTGGGGTTGTTTTTTTTTTTATTAGACCATAATGTGATCATGCTAGGAACATGCTCTTTAGTTCAAATGTGAGGGTGTGGGGAGGGCACAGTGAAGAGTTCAGAACAAACTGGTGAGGCATCTGGACAAGTTGTTAGAACTTAAGGTACAAAAAAATAAAGCACCATAAACATCTTATAATTGAGTACAGTTTTAGCTGTTATTCATCCAGGTATGCTACCTAATTATGGTCGGCTAAGTCTTTCATTGTTGCATGTTGATGAGTAAACTTCATGTTGGAAATGAGAAATAAACTCCCACTGTTTGTGTTCCTCTCTCACATACATGTGCTCGTATTTTATTTATTTCTTTTCTCCACACTCCATAAAGCACAATGTGGCTTTATGGAGTGTGGATAGTGCTACACTAATGGCTACACGTTAACCTCTACAGCAGGGTGTGGTTTGTGGTTCAGCTGCAGGGGAGGGGTGAAACAGCGGGCTCTGGGGACAGTGCCAGGGAAGGCTGGCTGGCACAGCTTTATCCATTACACTAACTATGCCTTCTCTATTTCGGTAGTTGCCAGGGCTCAGAGAAGGGAGCTGTATGGTGTGTGTAAGCTGGAGAGGGCAGCTGCAAAGCTGCGTGTGCTTCATTGTAAATAAAAATCACTGACATCAAACTCCCAAGCATCGGGTCCTTCTTGCTACAGTTGTGCTGAAACCCAGCTCAGTATGATGGATCAGCAGCCAGTCCGGGCAGTGGAGGCATTGGCACAGATGGTGGGAGAGTTGGCAGTAATGCACCAGGAGCTGGAGGCGGTGCTGAATAAACTGCGGGTCCAGGCCGAGTGACAGACGTTAGATGCTGCTGCTGTCAGGCGAGGCCCAGGTGGCCACCCTCAGCCTCTCCACCCAGGCAAGGGCCTCGTTTGAGAACATCTGGGGTTGGGAGACAGGCCCCTCACCTACGCCGGGCGGCTGCACGATGCCACACACTGCAGGCTGCAGCCCAACCCCATGCTGAAAGAGGTGTGACTGCTGGATGTGGTAGTGCATGAACAGTTCGTGAAGGGGCTCTCAGCAGAGCGGAGTGGGTCGGCTATCACTGGCCAGCGAGCCTTGAAACTGCAGTGACCCTAGCTGAAGATCACTTGGTGGTGCAGCTGGGGCAGTCCCGAGAGTAGCTGTGGCCAGTGGAAGTCGACCAGTCCCGCCCCTGAGGAAAAGATTTCATGACAGGACACATTTGCCAGGATTGCCCAGTAATGGAGGTGGGACAGATGTTCCTTCTGACACCGTCCTCCGGTCCCAAGAGAGACAGACTGCGTACTGGTAAGGTGCCAAGGGAGTATATGCCAGGCCTTGGTGGCCTTGTGGTCCACCAAACCCTAATTAGTCCAGGGGCATTACTGGAGGCAGAGTGGGTGGTGGTTAGGTGTGTGCATGTGGACATTCATAAATATCCCATGGGACCGGTTGAAATTAATTATGTCAGG